CCCCAAAACCCCAAAACCCCAAAACCCCAAAACCCCAAAACCCCTGGCTTTGATTAAAAAATTGTATTAAGAATTTTTCATAAATATTAAATATTAAAAGCCGAGAAATATGAAAAAATTTGAGAAGCAAGGATCCGGACCTATTTCACTGAGCTTTGAACCAACTCCGATCAACAGACAGTTTGGAGAGTTCAGGGGTGGGTTCGATGAGCTCAGTTTCACGAAGAAATCTGAAGATATGCTTTTTGCAAATAATAACGCCTTTGGAGATTACGTCTCTAATTCTAATATTTATCGAGGTAAATCTAGATTCTTGCATTTCGAAACTAAAAAACCGAGCTATCAAGGCACCGAAAATGCTGAGAATTAGGTTTTTCAAGCCCTTCCCAAAGCAAAACTATTTCTTGAATTAAAGATTCATCTGCCCCGCTTTTTATTATTTATGGAAATATTATGAGCAAGAGATCATTCAATTTGAGTTTTTCACGTGAAAAGATAAAATTTTTATAGATGTGTCACCCATGACAAGGAGAAGGAAGGCCCAAATTATCGAGCAGAGCAAGGGCATGAGGTTTTCATCTCCTGACAAGACTCCAATTGACCTGAGCAAGTGCTCTCATTGTCCGTTATGCAAACAGAGCCTTATGAAGCTCAACTCGAAGGAGCCAGAAACTCCGATGAAGACTCCGAATACACGCCGTAGGACTGCTGCAATGAGAAATGGCCAAAATGGAATGGCTAACGCTAAGAGGGTCAAAGAAGATGAGAGTGAAGATAGCGAATTCTCTCTTGAGAAGAAACTTAAGAAGGCCAAGGAAGATCCTAATCAGAATAAGAGAAGAAAATCTAAGGCACAAGTCAAAATGCTAGAAAATGAGCTTGAAGCAAACCCTCATTGGACTAATGAGGATATGGTAAAGATTGCAAAGAAGACTGGATTGACGAAATCTCAGGTATATAAATGGAATTGGGATCAGAAAAAGAAGCTCAACATTCTACCCAGTAAAGTGTATGTTGTACAACTTCCAAATGATATGCTTGATACGAAATCAGGACAAATAGTCCTGAAAGGTGCGGATGGACTGAAAAAGCTCCAAACATTGAACTTAGAATCAATAGTCAAGAACGCAAACAAAAAGTAGAGAGCCTCACCAACTTGCGGACCAGTATTTATGATTTAATTTAGGTTGTTCATCGATATTTCTGCATGCAGGGGTTTTGGGGTTTTGGGGTTTTGGGGTTTTGGGGTTTTGGGG